ACAAGCATGTTCCGTGGAAATTAACAGACACAGGTTGGAACTTGAGCATGAGCATCTCTCACGAGGGAAGAACCACATGCTGCATTCTAAACCAGTGCATCCAAATCCCCTGGGGATCTTGTTAAATTGCAGATTCTGATTCAGTAGGTCTGGGAGGGTGCTGATAACTCTGCATTTCTAATAAGTTCCCAGGCAATGTTGATGTTGCTTCTCCGTGGCTTACTTTAAGTAGTGAGCTATTAAAACAGACACACGCACAAAAAACCCTTCTAGGCCTAGGTATTTAACTCGTCCAGCAGCAGATGCAAAGACACCTGAGACTGAAGATGCAAGAGGGCAGGCCCAGACCCATTCTTCTCACCATAGCCCACCAGCACTCTGCACAGTGCCTACTCCTTTTAGGGATCCAATGAATGAATGTGAAATCATTCAATACATGCTCGATTGAAAAGATGCACCTGACATTTCAATTATAATGGAATTTGGTCACTGGTTCAACTAGGACAAGCTTCTGTTGGGCTATTGTGAGCCTGGGAGAATCCAGAGAGGCTGGAGATGGCATAACCCCAGCCACGAAGCTGTTACTGCTCATACCCCAGAGTTTGGAATCTAACAGTTCTTCATAAATTTCACGTAGGTTAGTCTCAACTCTTCACTTGGTTTAGGAAAGGTTTTTCCCCAATCGGTCCTGCTGATCTCCAATCCATTCTCCACATAGCAGTCAGGAAGATCTTTCAAAGATGTGAACCAGGTCATGCTACCCTCTCCTAAAGCTTCCGCCTATCTCCATCTGAAGTTCTAACCTTCTTTTTCAGGGATTGACGCCCTGTGTGATCCAGTCCCTGAGCACCACTCTGGTCTCATCTCCCTCACTCTCCACCTTATTTACATGCCCCCAACCACTCTGACCTTTTTTTCTCTCCTTCAAAGACACCCAACTCAGGCCCACTTCTGAGTCTCTGTGCTCCCTGGTCCTTCTGCCTGGGACTCTTGTTTCTGGCTCTCCATGTAGCCGGCACCTTTCCATCATGCAAGTCTCAGTCCAAGCCTCCCTCCTCAGAGGGGCCTGGCCTGTACAATGTGCTTGAATTTACCACCCTTCCTGGCCCCACCACTGGGGCCACATCGCCCTCCTCAGCACTGCCATCACTAGCTGAATTAATTGTGTTTAGATGTTCATTGGATGTCTCCCTCAGTAGATTGTAAGCTTCATGAGGGCTGGGACCCATCAGTCTGGTTTACTCTTCTATCCCCCTGGAATAGTGCCTGGCACGTAGGAGATGCTCAATAAATAGTTGTGAGACTCTATTTGACTCTAACTCCCCCAGGTCAGGACTGTGCCTGATACTTCTCTGAATCCCCTCTAGCCCCTAGCCTAAGACTAGACAAACCACAAGTGAGGAGATGCTCAATAAATAGTTGTGAGACTCTATTTGACTCTAACTCCCCCAGGTCAGGACTACGCCTGATACTTCTCTGAATCCCCTCTAGCCCCTAGCCTAAGACTAGACAAACCACAAGTATGAAACTGAAACTGGCAGTTGTTCCCTGTCCTGGATCAGGCCTGTCCTGCAAGGCGTGGTGTGGTCCAGTAACCTCCAGGCCATCTTTGAAGTCAGAAGTCAAGATCTACCCAGTTGGGTCAATCAACGAAGGAAGAAGGAAGTAGACAAAGGAAAAGCAGGGGAAAGCAAGGTAATGAGAAAATGGAAAAATGACAGGAAGCAAGATCAAGCAGCCCCTAAAGCCACGGGCTCTGAATCTTCTCCACTGAGTTGAATCAAACAAGGCCGGGAGACCCACACGGACTGACATGCATCAGCTTCCTGTTAGGCCCCGCCCCTGGAACAGAGGTTCCTGCCCACTTGGCTTCCAGCTTCCAGGAAGTCGAATGCACATCCTACCCACTGCCTCCACATCATCCCTTCATGAAGGGCTGAGCTGCCTATTCAGAAATGATGCTGTGAGCACAGGATGGCAAAGGGCACAAAAAACTGATCCACAGGCCCTTCCTTTGGCTGGTTGCTGACGTCAAGGAAGCAACTTGAGAACATGTTAAGACAATCCTGGGGCTTCATGGTTTGGGAGCCTTTTTCGTACATTCCAATCTCCAGTATGTAAGAAGGGTACATTTCTGTTCAAGCTAACACTCTGAAACCTGCACCACACCCGGAGTCCCTGGCAGGTGGAGGTTCGTGTCTGAGAGAGGCAGAGGGGATTCAGGGGTTACCTGGCCGGAGGCGTATGTGTGGTTACTGTTCCTGCTGGTTCTCAGGAAGGGTTCATTCTAAGAGAGAAAAGAAACCACAGGGTTCAGACGCCCTACTGGCCAGCCACCCAAACGAGCAAACAAACAAACAAAAAAACCACAGGGAGAGGTTACCTGAAGTTTGTTTAGGAACGATAACTAACAATCCTACCTTCTGGATTTATTTAATATGATTCTTCTGCATTTAAGTAGAAAAAACTACAGGAGGGTACTTCAAAAAGTGGAACAATTCATATTACCTTTTAATTCTATTTTACACAAACTTTTTGAAGTACCCATATAAACATAATTTCATTCATTCCCCAGAGGGTTTTGCATAAGAGCTTTGGCAAGGGATATACAATAGAAGGCCTGCAAAGTGTTCCTTACGTGTGCGAGTCTGGGCTCCATGCTTTTGTTCTCACCCTAGCAACTGAACATCTCCTGAGTCCTCAGACCTATGTATTTTCTTTCCTTTACAATTTCTCTGGCAAGGGACCCACATTGCAGCATTTTTCTCTCCCAGGAAGTGTTATGATTATCAACATATTTTGGTATCTGTTGTTGTTGTTGTTGTTTTTCTGCCTCCTTTGAACTCTGTGTCTTATCCCCTTAGGTTGGCTTCCTGTATTTTGGTCATTTTTTTCCTTGTGAAACATCCTCTTCACTTCCTACTCGCCTATCTATTTCACCATCAATTTTCACACAAGCCCAGACAAGAATCCAAGTCCACCCACTTGCAGGTGATGGGTTAATCAAAGAAAGAAGAAGGAAGTGGATGAAGGAGAAACATGGGGGAAGCAAGATAATGAGAAAATATAAAACTGGAAGAGGATCAAGTCAATAAAACCCAGATCAGAAACACCAAGTGGGCCCGCGGCTGTGGACACTCTCGCAAAATGTGTTCAGTGGAGTAGAAAGGACGTGCTTGGAAAATTTGGGAATACAATGGAAATATGAGAAGGGGGAGAGGAAGAGGAGAAAGTGAGAGGGGAGGGGGTGTCCCTGTGTTCAGTAGGGGCGTGCCCTCTTTAGTTCTGGCCATAGCATTCCTTGTTTCACAACTGACCCCAGGAGCACAATCATGTTCCTGCCTAGCACTGTAGACATCTGACTTTGCAACCCCCAGTGCCTCCGCTTTACAGGTGAGAAGCAACTGAGGCCCACAGTGGGGAAGGGATCTATTCTAGGTTAGAGCCACTAGTGAGTGCAGAGATGAGGCCAGACCTGACCCGACTGGCCTCTTGGTGGATTCCGTTCCTCACACTGGAGTCAGGCCAACAAAAGACACTGTTGGTCAGACAAAGAGGGAGAGGAAGAGAGGGACTCAGCAGTCCCTTTGGAGGACAAAGTCTACATGCACGAAGCACTCAACTCCCAACACAGATCCTGGCTCCCTGGACGCCTGACAAGTCTTCTGGTTCCTCTGAGTCTCGGTGTTCTTTCTGAAACATGGGCTGGAGGACAACCTTTCACGGGGAAGCACTCAGGGCCAAGGGCAGGAAGTGTACTGTGGATTGTTTACCACAGTCAAGACAGAAGGCTTCCAATGGCATGTCTACTTGGCTAATTAAGCTTGTCTCAGGCTGATGTTGATCAGCGTCCCCTCAGTGTCGTCTGCCACCAGACAAGGGCAATCTAGGAGCGTTCTGTAAGTAACAGACCCACCTCCCTACTGAGTTTTGTTTTTGAGGACAAATATCCCCAAATTGTGGAGCAATTCCTTAGCAGTTCCTGCCCTTACTGGACACGCTATTTTTTGATGCACAGGAAGAACCAGAGGGCAAAGACCTTTTAGGGGTGCTGAGAGTCAAATTGGAGAGTCTGTTTGGTCATATCTATTTAACCATATGATCCATGGGTTGGGGGAGGGAAGGCAGACTAAAGGGGTTGGAGGTCAAGGAGACACTGGAAGGCAATGGAGAGTGAGGCCAGGGCCGTGGCAAACAGGCAAGCTGGGTGCCCAGGGCTTGTGTGTATTGACCTTTGGCTGCTTGGTGCATGCATGAGTCATGCCCCGAGGCCTGGAGTCAAGCAGATGAAGTGGAAGAAGGATTTGATTAAGTCTGACTGGCTCTCAAGGGATAGCTTTGGAGCACCAGTAAGCAGAAAATAAAGCCAACTGAATGCCAGCGCAAGGAAACCGCTCTACCAACTCCAGCTGTGGACTACCTGGGGAGGCAGAGCCCAGACCAGCACCTGCTGTGAGTCAGTGAAGGGAGTCAGCGGCTATGCGACATGGTCATAAACATCCCAGCGGCATTACCGCTCCACCGTGGACTGATTCTCTTCTGTTCTGTGCTGGTGGATCAAACTGGAGTGCACGTGAAGGGAGTCAGCGGCTATGCGACATGGTCATAAACATCCCAGCGGCATTACCGCTCCACTGTGGACTGATTCTCTTCTGTTCTGTGCTGGTGGATCAAACAGGAGTGCAGAGTCACCAACTCCAAGGGGGACACATTCCAAGGAGAAATGCCTACACGAGGCAGGGTTTGGTCATCATGTCTGTAGTAGATGGTTCAGGGGACTGAGGAGAAGACTGACAGCAGGGGTAGGAGGAGGAAAGAGGACATAACAGGACTTCATGGAACGCCTCTGCTATTTTCTGAACCATTCCATCCCCAAACGTGCTTGTTCTTACCTACTTTGATTTCACAAGCTGTCAATGGGCAGCCACTTGGCAGTTTGGAAAGCACACCTTATGAGAGCGTGGAAGTTTAAGCAGAGGCATAGTGATGCATTGGGAGGGGCGTGATAGAAGAATTCAGTTATTATACGAGAGGTTGCATCAACAGAATTCAAAGGCTCTCTCCCTGCTGGGATCCTAAGCTTATATAATTCTCTGTTGTTTAATGATGGGAAAGTAGGACTAGATGACCTTTAGCATAGAAAGTGGTGAGGATCTGAGGCAGGGTGGTGGCACTGGGGATGGGAAAAGGGGCAGGTGGGAGGGCACTGGGAAGAATCTTATCAGATAGAGCACCTGACATTTCACAGCTGTATTACCTGAAAGCCACAATAACACCAACAGAAATAGGGAAGACCTAAGGAGCAGAGAGTTTGGGTAGACAAATATTTCATTCTTATTTAGACATTCCTTGCTTACAAAATACATTTTGAGTGAATGTTTATTGAGTCTGAGGTAGTGGTGGGGTCAGAGGAGAATTAGGAGATTTAGAAGCTCTGAGCATTAAAAAGATAATAGTGTCCCCATATGTAATTCAAAATAGAAACACTGCTAAACAATCAAGTAAGTTTAAGGGAATCCAACAAACTTCTGCTTTTTCTCATGATAAAAGATAGGATGAAATACATGAAATTATTTTAGGACTCCCTCCCCGCTCTGGTTTCCTACTTTGTTGATTCCCTGATCATACATTTAACCTGTGTAGAGCATCCAAAGGGAAACATCTTTTAAGGGTTGGAAATATAGGATTGGAGTTTGGAAAAGAAGAAATGAAGACACAGATTGAGAGATTAAGGAATCCAGTGCAAAGAAATTGAATGGGAAATCTTGGAAAAGGATAAATCTCAGAATTAGGGGATGTGGAGAGAGAGAAAAGAGAATAGGGTTGAGACATGAAAATTAGATAATGCCCACATTTTGGAGGTTGGGAGAAGGAAGGAGGGTCATTAAAAGAGATGAGAAGGGGCAGCAATCAGAAAAACTGAAAAACTGAGGTGGTCTAGTGGCCACAAATCCAGGAAGGAGGGAATTTCACAGGAGAGAAGGTCTCCTCTGACAAATGCTTCAGAGAGGTCAGGGAGAATAAAAGCTGAAAAGGACAGAGCTGACCTTCCAGCCGGTTCCGCCCGCTGCCCTGGGGTTCAGGAAAGAGTGGGCACAGAGCCAGTTAAGGCAGGGAAGAAATAATGGGCACAGTCAACAGAGTGGCCATCAAAAGTTGGCTGTAAAATAATTTGTCCAACCTGGACATACAACAGAAATCCATGAAATGCTATTAAGTTCCTCTACCTGGCACAGTGGAATGTACTAGCAGTTTGACTGGGGATGCGCGGGGAGGAGAGAGGAGGCTGAGAAAGCTGCTCAGTGCTCACATCCATCTCGGCCTCCTCCGCCCGCTGCGTCCTGTCTATTGCCTCTATGTTTAGACACAGCTAGGACGAAAATATGTGCTGCCTGGCCCCTATCTGCTCACACTGAGCTGCTGGTGGACTTTTCTATCCCTCTAAGGCACATGGGAGGGAGCAGATGGGACCTGAGGAATGCAGAATGCTACGTTGCATGCAGTGCAGTTGGGATAGCCAGCAGATGGACCCTTTCGGAATGGGCTCCGGGGCTGCTTAGCAACAGCGTCTCCTGGGCTGGGCTTCGACAGGTTCCAGGAGGCTGGATTTGCTCTCCTCTGCTCTCCAACAGCTCAGTCGGGCTCTGTCCAGAAGGGAGGAGCTGAGCCCATTGTGGCTTGAGGGGCTGGGTGAAGCATCACCCTTTTGGGGCTCCCTGCCCAGTACGGAGTGGCAGAGGCTGCCTTGAAGCCGTGGTGACAGGGTTCTCCCTGATCCAGTGCCTGGGCTCAACTCTGTCCTTAATGCATGATTTCTGGGAGAAAGAGCAAATGCTGACTGCCTAGAATGGGTTATTACTTTTACTATTTAATGGAAGGGGAGTTGGCAGTTTGGAGAGGGCCTTCCACGGCTGATATTCAGCATGGCTGTGTGGATTGTTAAAATATTGAAATACCTAATTGTACGTCCCCAAATGGCCCCACTATCCAAGTCTACGGCTGATATTCAGCATGGCTGTGTGGATTGTTAAAATATTGAAATACCTAATTGTACGTCTTATAGCTACTGCTCTGAGTCCCCAAATGGCCCCACTATCCAAGTCGCCCTGGCTACTCCCATAGAGCCCCCTGGACATCTTTAGCAACTAAAGTATTTATACTTGACACAGTAGGGACCTCTAGAACCTTGTCCTGGCTCTTTGCGCAGCATCTGACCATTGGATTGGGGACATCCACATTGCCCTGGTTGTTACATGATGTGCCTATCTCCTTTGTTCCAAACATTAGATGCAGCACTGAGCCCTCTGCCGTCACATCTTCCCTCCTGCCATTCTTGCTGTCCTGATGAGGCTGATGCCTGGGCCCAAGATTGGCATGGGAAAGGCAGTAGACAGGGAGCATGGATCCAGGCAGGGGTGCCCCCTCTCTCAGGAGCCCCAGCAGACACATGGGGGAGCTGCAGGTCCGTTTGTGGCCACTGCTAAGCCCTGAGGGTGGGAGAGGGTGGTGCAGGCTGACCCAGGAGGAAAACCCGGCCTCCCAGATTGGGTCAGGCCCTCTGCTTTTATTGCTGCTGAGGGCTCTCTGGCCCTGGCCTTATTTGGTTAAAAAGTCATAAGCCAGGAGCTGAAGGCAATGGGAATGTGAACCTGTTCCCACCCCTAGGCCTGAAATCAAATTTAACAACCACTTACATATTCCTCCATAAAAGGAGCCCCCGTTCTCACAAGCCAGTCCTCCTGTCCCTCCTCCACACAGCCCAGCTCCCCGCTTTGCTGCTGTCCTCTGTCACCCTCTCCTTGCTGGGAATGCCCAGTCCAGGCTCTGCAACCTCTAACCATGACTTCTGAGCCTGCCTGGCTCCTCACGAGGCTCCCCAGCCTGCAGCCAGACTTTCCATCCGCCCCACAGGCCGCTGCTAAAGTGAGCCATCTTGCCATGCTCTGGCTTCCGGATTGCCCTTCCCAAGAGCCCACATTTCTCCCTGACCCTCTCCCTGTGCTCGGGCCCAGGCCTCGCTTCCCAGCTGCTGCTCTCTTTTCCAGAGAGATAACAGCAGCCTTCTGTGCTCTTTCTCTCCTCCCCATTCTCGTCAACTTCCCTCTATCCTCCAAAGCCCATCTCTCCGGCCTCCATGTGGAGGACCACGGGGCCAGGGTGAGAGGAGCAAAGCACGTCCTCCCTTATTACCTGAGTGGGGCAGGTGAGGGGGATATTTGCAGACAGGTCCAAGGTGTCCGTTTTCCTTCCCAGTGGTTGAAGCTGATCAGGGAAGAAGAGGGAGAGGATTTTTCCACTGAAGTGAACATCCCTGGCAGCCTCCTGCAGTTGGGGAAAGCTAAGAACTTCATGCCAGGGGGTTTGGCTTCCGCCCCCGGCTCTGCCAGCTGCTGGCTGTGGGACGCTAGGCCAGTGGCTCGCATAGCCTCTGGGCCCCGGCATCCTCAGACACTCATCGTACTTCTCTAGCAGGGCTGCTGAGAAGCTAGCAGGAGAGGACGTGGCTTAACCTGCCTAGCACAGTCGCTGGCGCAGAGAGATGTTGAAATGTGGAGGTTCTGCCTTGCATTTATGTACTGTCCCTCCTCAGACTTCAGGCACAGAGGAAAGCACTTAAGGACTCCACGTTTCCAGTTCTATAAGCTTCTACAGACGTGCCCGCTCCTGTACGCCTTGCTTGCAAGGGAAGCCAAGAGCAAGGCTCCATTCTATAAAGGCTGGTGCTTTGCTCTAGACTAGAACCCCAGGGAAACAGGGATGCCCAATGTACTTTACCATATTGACCCAAAGGGCTCTGGAGAGCTGGGAGTGGAATTTCTGACTCAGGTGGATGCAGTCTGGGGCGAAGAAGGACGTATCTGGGTGCCCATTCTGAAAGAGACGAATATGCTTCCTCAAGATCCATTGGTGCAGAGGGAGCCTCAGCTGACCGGCCTGACCCCTGGGACTGACTGCACCCCCCACCCCCAGAGTGTGCCAGGTCATTGGCCCCTATAAGACCTGCTCACTTTGAGAGGGAGAGCAGAGGAATCCCAGTGAATAGCTTCGGGCGACCCCCAACCGCCCCCCTCCTTTCTAACCCCACAATTCCCCCTTATTTAATAAAAACAGTGCTATATTTATTTTTAAGCACATTTGTATAACACCCTAGCACATGCCATGGGTGAGGGAATGAGATCCTAGTCCCAGAGGGAGTCTTGGCCTGCCATCTGGGGAAAGCTACTTCCCAGACCTTGGCCAGCTGGTCTTGGTGGTCCTAGCAGGGAGAACAAAGCCAAGCCTTGGGGCAAACCCGGCCAAAGCTGGTACTAGGGCAGGGGCCACCTGACTCCTCTCTGGAAGCACTTGGGGGTGCACAAGGCTGCTCTTCTCCCAGCTTCCCTGCAGTCAAGTGAGGCCCTTGGGACGGAGGCCCAGGTGGACAGAACTCAGTCCTCACCCGGTCTGCTCACAGGTCTTTTCTGTTCTGAGTGGAAGTGCTGGGCAAAGAGCATGGCTGGGGTGGAAACATAATACCCAGCATCCTCCTTTATAATGCACTGTCGCATGCGAGGAGACCACACGTGGGCGGGAAGTTAATAGTTCAGACTTGAACATGCTCAAACCTTGCCTCTCTGTTTCCTATCTGATTTCAGGAAGGATACTTCACGTCTCCGCCCCTCAATTGGGTGGGGATGACAGTACTCACCTCCAAAGGTAGTTGTCATGATTTTGTCTATGGGCAGCACAGTGCCTAGCACACAGCAGGTGCTCGGTACAATGGCGCTGTTATCACGAGTAATGGGAACCTCCCACCTTGGGCTGCCTCTGGGAATGCAGCTCAGCCACTCAAGGAGGCTACAGCCACCAGCACGGCATCTGGAGAGCTGTCTCTGTCTTTCCTATTTTATTCACAGGCTCATGGAAGCACTTGGCATTTCTACCTTGGATTTCCTCCTCTAAGGGCACCTGGGGTGGGTGCTCCCTCTGGGAGCCCGGGGACGAGGGCAGGGAGCATACCGCCCGGGTGGGTATCCGGAGTTTCTGGAAGAAGGGCTGCAGCACCACCGAGAAGTCCTCCCGAGTTCCATAGCGGCCCGTGTCCACTAGCTTGCGCATGTTGTTCTGGGGACACATGCACAGGGCCTTCAGCACAGGCCCTGGGTGGCCCGAGTGCCCAGTGAGGCAGGGGCAAGGGTGATGGGCAGCGTCCCTGCCCCCATCTTCCTGGACAGGGTGAGGCTGACTCAGCCCTTCCCCTGAGAACACACACACTTTCCAGAGAATTTGGAAACAGGTTGGATCACCTTTTTTGTTTTGGTTTTAAGTGGACTGCAGTCTCTGAAGGGCTAGGCGGGAAGTCCCACAAGGAATGAAAACCTTGAAAGAGGCTCAGAGGGCCCCCAGGCTCTTGCTTGTGACCTCCCTTCCTGTGGCCTTGCTTGTGGAGCTGGGTGGCAGTGCGGGGGAGGGGAGATAGGGGTGGACAGCCAGGCCTCAAGGGAGCAGGGGAGGAAAGGTGGCCTCCTGGGGCACTCAGGGCTACTGGCCAAGAGTTGAAGTTCGGCCCCAAGGGCACCTCAGCCTCGAGGACTTTGCCACTTGACTCTACTTGGACAGTTCCAACCGGGTGCAGTAGGGAAAGGGGCTCGGGTGGGTGACATCTCCCCTTGAGCCCTGAACAGCTCTTCTCTCTCCTGCATGCCTTGTCTAGGGGGCTTCTGGGCTCTGTTTGTTGGAGTGAGCTGGGGGAGAGGACACAGAATAGTGCCCTCTTTGGTCTCACCTGGTAGTCTTGGCTGAGGGCCTCCATCCTGGCCAGCTCTGGGGAGTTCGCTCGCGGGGTCAGAACACAGTTACACAACGTGCTGCACAAAGAGGGGGAGGCAGGAGGACCCCATGCTCAAGCTCTGGTCAGGGCCTGGCTCTGGCAGGCCAGGGTGGGTGGGGTATGGAGCAGCCCTGGTTTAGGAGCATGTGTGCCTTGAGGTTCTGGTGCATGTGGGCAGGTTGAAGCCTGACTTGGGTACCTAAGAATGTCCCAAGAGAGGAACCTGATGTATGAATGGGTGTCATATCATATTAAAAGAGGACCAGTGCTGGATGGCAGGCCTGGGCCTGCAACAGATCCTGCCGAGCAAATGCACTGAGCCGATGGAAATGTAGTGTTTAATGAAAAAATAAAAGAAAAATGCATCCTCTGGTATGGGAGCCGGTGTTTTGGGGCCTCTGATGCTCATGTTTTCGGACACTTCCTCACTCATGCCAGTGCTCCACTTGGTCCCCTTCTGTTTTATTATGGATTATGTCACACCCATAAAATGTACTTAATGTTAAAAGGGAGATCATCTCTACAGCACTTAGCACAGTGCCTGGTGCACAGTATGTTCTGTAACATCGGTTAAATAAGCAGATGTATGTATCAGGGACAAAAATAATAACAGACAGGCCCACAAACCTATAGTACTTAATGTTAAAAGGGAGATCATCTCTACAGCACTTAGCACAGTGCCTGGTGCACAGTACGTTCTGTAACATTGGTTAAATAAGCAGATGTATGTATCAGGGACAAAAATAATAACAGACAGGCCCACAAACCTATCACCCAGTTTAAGAAACAAAACATTCCCAATTTGAAGTTCCCTTGCATCCCTCCTGATTCTCTTCTTCCACATAAAGGTAACTGGCTCATATGCATCCTTTCCTTGCTTCTGGCAGTTTGACCACATATGCATACATCCCTGCAAGTTACCTATTTTCACAGTCTGGGCTACTCTGTCTGTCAAACACCAGCCTCTGTCCCAGCCTTGACCCCACCCCCTGTAGCTCTCCGGTATCACAGATGTTCCTGTCTGGCACTTTGTGGTTGGGCAGGGGGGAGTCATGGCTCCAGCTTCCCAGAAGTGAAGGTTCTGGCACGAGTCCTCCTTTACAGACTTGGACATGTGGACAGACCAAGTCACAGGGACCCTGAGGAGTCACTGTTGCATGTGAGCCAGGTGAGGGGGTGAGAGCGTTTCCAGCCTGGGGGTAGCCAGGACCTGCCTACCTGGCCAGCTGCTGTGGGCACTTGTCTGCATTTCCCAGGAACACTTGCCGCATGATACTGGGATTCATAAAGTCCACTAGGTTGACCAGGGCTCTGGGCACCTGAGGGCGAGGTTGCGGATGAGAGAGGGGCTCCAGAGGCTCCTTCCTTAGCCTGCATCTGGGCTCTGGGATGTGCAAGTGGCTGGAGGGTTCCTTCAGAACTCTAGCTCAGTCCATCCCCCGAGCTGAGTTCTGCAGAGGAGTCTACACAGCCTACCATGTAGGGCCCCACAGGCTGTACCTCACACAACTCCAGAGGGCGCCACCCAGATGGGCTGCAGGGTGAAAGGTGCCTTCTAGAGCACACAATAAATGCTAAGATTTCAGCTTTGTTCAGCCATGATTTAGTGAGCCCAAATACATTAGCTTTAAATTTGGTGAGTTAGGTGACCTTGACCGGTTCCAGCCATGATTTAGTGAGCCCAAATACATTAGCTTTAAATTTGGTGAGTTAGGTGACCTTGACTGCTCCAGCCCAACCTGGCCTAACTCTGCTGAGTGGAATGGGGACTCAACCCCCCAGTGGAGCACCTGGAGGTCAGAGTGCTCCCTCCTGGGTGCCCATCCTGAAAAACAAAAATATACTTGCTCCAAAAGGGACCCACGGCCCACTGGCCTGACCCCTGGGACTGACTGTGCACTGCCCTCCTCCGTCTGGCAGCTGAAGCAGCTTGTCCTTGGTGGGGGCATCGAGCTGCTGGGTGCAGGGACAAACAAAGGCTTACTCTGGACACAATCTGTGGCTCAGAATGCAGTGCCCAGCCTAGGGCCACCTGGCTGCTGCCAACAAGGAATGTCTCAGATAGTAGTGAGGGGACAGTTAGACAATATATTGCCTTCTCTTCTTCAAACCTGAGATCCTTCTGGGCTGATTCCAAATGGAGTGAGGCTTCCTTGGGGATAGACCCCAGGCTCTGGAAAGGGAAGGAGCCCGTGGCCTTGGCTTTCTCCTTGAAGGGAGGGGATATTTCCACCATTCTTCCCGCTGTCCACCTTCACCCTAACCATGCTTGAGCTGTTCCCAGCTTGTGGCAGCCGTGCACCCACCTCTTTATGCAGGATGTCCAAGGCCTTGCTGAGATGTGACATGAAGTTGTCTGCAGAATACAGATTCTGGGAAGAGACAGGAGGGAGGGAGAGGGGGAACTGGTCAGGGTGGGAGGGCAGTGGGGCAGTTGTAGTCTTCCCTTCTGGCTCCAGCCCCGAGGACTTGTTCTCTCTGTGGCCTGCAGCGGTGACCAGCTCATCATGTCAGAATCTGAGCTGCAAAACTGACTACTCAGTGTTGTCAAAGAGGGACCGGCCAGAAGACGGGAACTTTCAGCCAGAACTTTAGCTCAGGAGCAGAAAGTGGAGAGTCCTCCTTCCAACTGCTTGGGGTCTACAGTTTCTTCTCTCTCTAAATTCTCAGGAGTTGTAATAGGGAGGACTAGACGCACCATATATCTGCCACCTGCTACCTCACCACCTGGGACATGAAGATGGTGCCAGGAGCCTGAGAGTCGTGGGGTAAGAAGTGTGTGTGCATGTGTGTGGGAGCTGTGTGTTCATGTGCACAGACACAGGTGGAGTTGGATAATCCTAGGATGGGTCTTAGGGACTGTTCTTAGAGAGGATCTCCAGGGCCTACTGTGAGAGTCAGGAGCCATGAGTAGGCCTGCTCCCTGCCCCCTTACCAAATCCGTGCAGTGTTCACATAAATCGCCGCCTCCAATCATCACCGTGATGACCTTCCAGTCTTGGTGGAAATCCACTCTCTACATGGGGGGAAGAAAATGATGAATTCCAACAGACAAAAACATCACAGCTCTAGGAGATCATTCAAACCTCTATGGCTTCCTTGCCCACTTGAAAGAATAGAACAAGAATCTCGGAGCTAAAGGGATTTTAGAGGTTTATTTATAGGCCACAGAATCTTAGCATCAGGAGGAACTTTCAAGGTCACTGAAGAACAGCAACAAACCTCTCCCCACTGACGTAATCTCCTCCAGAGGGGCTGACAGGGGGTGCCCGACCTCTGCCTGAACACTTTTAGTGACAGGGGACTCACTGCTGTTCATGGCAGACCATTCCATTCGGGAACAAGTTTATTGGGTTAGAAAATTTAAACAAATGGGACTATATCAAACTGAAAAGTTTCTGCACAGCAAAAGAAACAATTAACAGAGCTAAAAGACAGCCAACAGAGTGGGAGAAAATATTTGCAAAATACATATCTGACAAAGGACTAATATCCAGAATATATAAGGAACTCAAACAACTTTACAAGGAAAAAACAAGCAACCCAATTAAAAAATGGGCAAAAGAGCTAAGTAGGCATTTCTCTAAAGAAGATATGCAAATGGCCAACAGTCATATGAAAAAATGCTCAACATCACTCAGCATCCGGGAAATGCAAATCAAAACCACACTGAGATACCATCTCACCCCAGTTAGGATGGCTAAAATCCAAAAGACGCTGAACGATAAATGCTGGCGTGGTTGCGGAGAAAAAGGAACTCTCTTACATTGTTGGTGGGAATGCATAATGGTGCAACCCCTATGGAAAATGGTTTGGAGGTTCCTCAAACAGCTGAAGATAGATCTACCATACGACGCAGCTATCCCACTGCTGGGAATATATCCAAAGGAATGGAAATCATCAAGTCGAAGGTATACCTGTTCCCCAATGTTCATTGCAGCACTCTTTACAATAGCCAAGAGTTGGAATCAGCCCAAATGTCCATCATCGGATGAGTGGATACGGAAAATGTGGTATATATACACAATGGAATATTACTCAGCTATAAAAACGAATGAAATACTGCCATTTGCAACAACATGGATGGACCTTGAGAGAATAATATTGAGTGAAATGAGTCAGGCAGAGAAAAGGAAATACCACATGTTTCTCACTCATTGGTGGGAGCTAAAAATAAACAAATTAATTCACCCACAAACACACACACACAAAAAACCGGGGGGGGGGAAGAAGATATAACAACTATACCTTTTTGAAGTTTTTACAACAAACAAACGGAAAGGACATTCTTGGGGGGGAGGGGAGAGAGGGAGGAGGGAGGGAGGTGTTGGTGATGGGCCATAATAATCATATACATTGTATATTGACAAAATAAAAATTTAATGAAAAAAATAAAAAAATAAAAATAAATAAAAAAATTAAAAAAAGAAAATTAATGTGTATAAATAACCATAAATCTGACTTACAGGGTCAGTTTTCATCTTCTGCACCAGAGTCTCGACTTGGTGAGTAAGTTGTCTGAGAAAGAGAAAATCAGTCCTTCTGTTGAGGAATAGTGCCCACATCTTCCCTCCTAAAGGGCCTGAGCTACAGGTTTCCATGCTGTCGTTCCCACTGCACGAACTGGCAGAAACCCTGAGGCGCACAGACAGGAGCTACTCGCCTCTTCTGCAGAGTTATTACAACAAATAACCATTGAAAAGCCAACCGTGTGTTTGTCCTAAGCTGTAGTCAAAGGTATTGCCAATTATACTTTTGCTCATGACATCCTTTTCTAGAACTTTACATGCAAAATATCTTCTAGGATTCCATGCTAAAAACCATTTGTTTCTTTTGAGTGACTGGTACAGGTTCTGAAATTAGACCTGTGATAGCTTTAGCATGCTTCCTTTTTCTCACTTTTTTTTTTTTTTTTTTGTCTTTTGTCTTTTTCCGTGTC